TTAGTAGAAAAAAAATATTTTTTTATAACAAGTATTATTTTTTATTCGAAGCACGAGCACAGTTTTTAATCCACCTTTATAATATTATTCTAGTTAAATATTTTTGTACTGGCGGAATAAAAATATTTTTTATTGTTTATGTGTACAGGTTTTATTTCAAAGCGTTCTGTTTGTATTTTTTGCGATGCTTAAATTTTATAGATCATATCCCAAATACCCATCTCTATAGATTACACGAGAACGTATTTAATAAAATGTACTACCAAACACCGTGCGTTGTAAAACTACTTTGATAATCGCTTTTTCATTCGAATTTCATAAATAAAACGATGTTATCTATTTTCAGACCGAACCCAAATACCATACAGCATTTTGTAAATCCTATCATCTTGAAATTGTTTTTTGGTAAATCGGATCTTAAATTCACATCGATAATGTCCGTTTTCATATATCATGTCTTTACATATTCGATGATATTAAATTTATGAATTCCCTTTTGGCGAAGAAGTTTTGCGCACCTTCTTTCGGCGAAATCTCGCTGTACCTCGTTGATACTTCATGGGTGCGCGAATCGCGGAATGCGGAGTCGAGATGGAAGAGGATTTTGAGACGGCTTGAGGAATATTTAAAATGCCGAATGTGTACTGCCTTTTCGAATGGCTGAATATAAAACTTCCGTTCGAATACAGCGCATGCATTTTTAGCATCGATTAATTATTTAAAAAAACACACACATAATAGACTTACCTGATATAATTGACTTAACTGATTGCATTTGAATTGAATTTGCACATTTGGATTTTCAAGGGTTTGTTATAACCGCGCTTTTTATAAATTCATCAATTTTTTAATTACAAATTTCTAACATAAATTTTTGAATTGTTAAAGATGTTAGGGGTGAACAGTGCTGGATTTACAGTAGGGGCGGTCGGGGCTACTGCCCTGGGCGCCAGATTTTAGGGGGCGGCAAAATTTGGAAAGTGAGAAAAAAATTCTATACGATATAATTAACTATAATTCTTCTTAAAACATTTTTTATCTCAAAAGTAATGCGAAAAATGGAAAAAAAACCTTCTGATCTTTTGAAACTTTTGTGTAAATGACCTTTACACTCAGTTTCCAGATGTAGAAATTGGTTATCACATTATTATTACTGTATCAGCAAAAAAACTGTAGCGCAGAACGATCGTTGTTGTTTAAAAAGGATAAAAAATTACATACGTTCTACGATGAGTGCAAATAGACTCAATAGCTTAGCAATTCTATGCATAGAATCGGATGTACTTCAATATTTAGATTGTGAAGATTTAATTAAACAATTTGCATTACAAAAAGTTCGTCGAATGTTCGTGAAGAAACTCCTTAGTGAAAATTTATAATGTTTTTAGTTATAATAAATATGAATATTTTGTTATATTTTTATAGTATGTATGCGAAAAAATTTTTCTGCAAAAAAATAGTTATTTTAGTTTTAGAAAAATGAGACAAAAACTATTTAAGTAAAATTTCAGGGAGGGGGCGGCATTTTTGTCATTATCCCGGGGCGCCAAATTTCTAAATCCAGCCCTGGGGGTGAATAACACTTAATTAAAAATAAGTTTTTTTCTTAAGTTAAATTTAAACTCTTTCATAAGTTTAGGAAAATCTTAATCAAAATTCATCGAAAGACATTCATTGACTGAATGCGGGATGAACAATTATTCGATTACTCAAATGACTCTTTCGAAATAGGGGTTTGTAGCAGGAGGGTATAAATATAAAGCTGTATGTATCTTTTAAAAGCAATAAAAAAATAAAAATAAAATTGATCGAGAAAATATTTTGGTGGCCAACTCTTACTACTTTAAGTAGTAAGGGTTGGTAAGTTGGTAAGTTGGTCCCAATAGGATATGAAAAATAGATGTCCGATTCTCACTCATACTGAATGTGATTATAAAATTTTATAAAATTCTGTTTGTGAAATGTTATTTATTTTTATTCATGAGAATCACTTAATTAACTAAAACCGACAGACATTTTATAATATGAAAAATAATATACATTTCATAATATAAAATAATTTTTAAACGAGAGTGCATAGTTTTTTTCATTGCATTTGTTATTATGTTTGTTCAATTTGTATATAATTTTCATATATGGTAAATATCCCAAATATACTTGTTCATAAAATGCAATAAATTGTATTCTTTTGAAGTGACACAATTGAATATTACATTTATTGTACCGAATCATGTACAAAAGAAAAACAGAATTTTAATTTACTTTTGTTTTATCTAATGGAATATTGTTTATATAATGTTTTTGTTTGTAATTCAATAAATGATATATTTATGAAAGGGAACGCTATTGGCGATAAATCTAATACGTGACCGAATAGATTTTAGAACTTGGGATTATGTTTCAACTGTGTTTCTAATCCCACTTTCAAGCATCATTATGAAAATACACCGGTCTTATTATTAAATCTTTGCACCTCTCATCATTACAATTCTCATTTATTGGGATTGATTAATGATGTCATATGGTGCGGCCTCCTTTATACAAAATTCCTGCATTCCATCTCGGAGAAGAAGCATTTGTTGTTCTCTGATATAATTCATTTGATTGGCCGGTTTTCTTGCCTGTTGATCAGGCAGACCAATCTGGTCATATCTAACATTGACTTGTCTCATTTCACTCCCTTGCTCCTTTGACGTTTAGATGAATTGGTAAATGTTTTGTTGAGATATTGAAACGCTTTTGTATAGAAGAGAGTTCGGGTCGCCAGCCGGACATTCCCATAGCTCTAGGTCATCTTTTGTTAGCAAGTTGACCATTGTTATTAGCGCCCCACGCATTTTCATTGATTCTTGTTCTGCTGATGTAACACTGCAGGAGTTCTATGCCCCTTTCCGATTCCTGAGCTAGACGATATATGAAATTTTATCTTGACAGTTTGAAAATGTGTTTCATAAAAATAGTCAGTAATTAAACTACTTAATAGTTACTTTTCTTTTTACTTATATATATTTATTCAAATATTTAATCTTTCATTTATTAACTTCCCGTAGGGTAAGTTATTGTAATGGGCCGAATCGGAATTGAAAATTTTTACATTTCTCGACGTTTTGAAGGTTTCTGAACATTTTGGCATACCTCAGAAAAATGGATGTATGTGTGTGTGTATGTATGTATGGATACAAATTTATAGTCACGTTTTCGGGCGCACGGATCAACCGATTTGAATGATTCAAAAAACGTTCGATTCCTATTGATAGGGAAAAGAGCTGATTAGTTTTTGGCGAAGGCAGGTCCTGCCGTTTCGGAGATACGGAGCAA